GCCAGAAGGTCCCCTACTAGTGCATTAAGAGCAGCAGGAGATGCTTAGAGGACATAACGTGGTGTTTCCTACAGTGTTATAGGTTATCCAGTCCCTTGGGGCTTATCAAAGTAGGAATCATGTTAATTCATCATAGAACGGTTTGGGTTGGAAGGACTCTTAAAGACTGCCATGGGCAGGGACACCTCCCAGCAGCCCAGGCTGCTCCAAGCCCCATCCAACCTGCCCTTCAACACCCCCAGGGATGGGGCAGCCACAGCTTCCCTGGGCAACCTGGGCCAGGCTCTCCCCACCCTCACAGCACAGAATTTCTCCCTCCCATCTCAGCTCCAGCTCCCTCTGCCAGCTGGAAACCCTTCCCCCTGCTCCCATCCCTCCCTGCCCTTGTCCCAAGCCCCTCCCCAGCTTTCCTGGAGCCCCTTCAGGCCCTGGAAGCTGCTCTCAGGTCTCCCTGGAGCCTTCTCTTCTCCAGGCTCAACACCCCAACTCTCCCAGCCTGGCTCCAGAGCAGAGCTGCTCTAGCCCTCCCAGCATCTCCGGGGCCCTAATTGCCTGATCACTGACCAATACACTTCTTCCAAAGCATGCATGACATGGCTTTGTTTTTGTTCAAGTTTTTGTAAACTGTCGGTCTGGAGCTTTTTTGGAGCTTTTTCCTCTGAACTGTGAAACTGTAGTTGTGATTTGATTTTAATTAGTTCAAAAAAAGGTCAAAATAATAAAAATTTATCTTCAGATTCTAGTAATAACACTAGGGATTGGGTTTTTTTGGATTGAGCTTTTTAGTCTTTCATTTATTTCTTTATTAGGCTATTTCTAGTATAAGTTAAAGCATGTTTCTTCCTTTTCTCTTCCATGATAAATGCCCCAGGGAGTTGCTAATTCATCAAATATGCTTATTTAATAATGAATCTCAAATAATTTCCCATTCTCCCAGTTGCGTTACTGTGTTTCTTATTCTTCAAGTGTTGTAGGAACACGTTTCTCTTTCACTTTAACTTCATATGACAATGTATAATGTAGCTAAAGGGGTTTTTCCTTTGCTAGACATGTGAGTGCATTGTGCTAATACTACAGATTGCAAAACGTGCATGTTTGCTGCTGGTGTTTGTAGGGGCTTTTATTCCTTTTTAATAGCTTTTGTTCTCAAAAATATTACTATCCCTAAGAGGGAAAAAAGCATGGATACATCTCTGCATCTGTATATGAATGTAGGTGATCACTGAGTGACTGCTTCCAAGTGGTAAATGTCTCACTGCAGCTTTGAATCATCTTATTACTCTACGTAAAAGCTCATGGAGGTGAAGCAAGAAGACTCTGAAAGTGCTAAAATAAGGATGAAAAAAGAAAGTTTATCAGGTTGTCAGGTCACCTGCAAGTTGTGGTGCATAAATGCACAGTGTGTTAGTAAAATGGTATGGATTAAATACTGTGTCTCTGCTCAGCTGCAGATACTGGTGTCAAAGGCTGAGTGATGCTCCTGAGCAGACTGGGGCAGTGGGGATTTGTGTCAAGACTAAGAAGAGGGATTCCTCTTACCAGGTGACCCACTGACCAGGGACAATGACATTGCCCTTCAGTGATCTCTATTCCAGGAGCCCAAATCCCTCTGAAGCCTCTGATGGGTAGTCGAGGTAAATTGACCCGGGATTGGTAGCAGCAGCTTGAAAGGAGACTTCCAGGCTGTTGTCCTCTGATGATTCAGGTGGAGGAATCTGGCCTGTTAATTCAGTCATTACAAGGCACCAAACACCTTCATCTGAGTGTTAAAAGAGAATGGAAAAATCTGCTTTGTTGGCATAATTTTACTGTGTCTTGCTTTTTCAGATGACTGTATGCAAATAGGGAAATACCAATGTTAAGGTTTTCTAGCTATTAAAAGAAAAAAAAATATTATTTTATGGCCAGATTCACTATGTTTCTGTGAATGCTTCCTCATAGGTTTTCCTTCATGTCCCTTTAGCTGGGATTGCACCTGCAGTGAGTGGTTTCCAACCAAGATGTTAAATATACATTGTGCCCTTTTTTTGTTGTGCCCAGCACACGCGGGGCTACGTGCTCCTGCTATTTTTGCTTTACCTGCCAGTTTTACCTGTCAAGGATCAGCCCTGCATTTAATGTTTTCAGTTTGCATTACCAGTGAGGAATGGAGGAAAAGCCGCACATTTTAGTGGAGAGGAAAGGTGGTTGGCTGCCTTGTCACACTGGCAGGGTCAACCCACATGTTTGTCAATTACAAGTGATGTATCAACAAGATTATTTCTGTAAAAGAGGAAAGGTGTAATGTGTAAAACCAACAGTGAGCTGTGCTTTTTAGGCAAAGCAAATCAGAGCCCTCTGTCCCAGAAGAGGGCCAGAAAGAGCTGGTTGTCTTGAAAACCAAATGCTTAAAACAATTTCAGGGAGATTTTAAACAATTTCAGTAAGATTATAATTTCAGAGCAAACAGTGTTTCCTTTCATTAAGGGAAGTTATTATGTTTATATTAAAGTGTGTTATCTAGGATCATAATCTGAGCTGCCAGGAAAACATTTATTTACTATACTTAAATCCAGTTTAAATCAATCTTCAGTCATGTCTAAAACACAATATCAGTATAAACTGCACATTTGCTTTTTTGTCTATTCTGTCCTGTGCCAGTGTGTGTTTTTTTCATTCTTTCCACTTCACAAGCATATCTACTATTTGCTTAAATGACTATTTACTAAACTACGGAGAGACGCTTGCAGTGTTCTACACTGATGTACAGAACTAGAGCTGCCTCCTTTATGGCAGGAATGAGTCTTCCAAAGAAAGATGAAAAGCTGTGATTGTTATAACCAATATTTTTTTTATGGGCACTGAATAATTAAGATTTTGTATTCCCTGTTGACTTTTGAGTGGAAGATAATAATAATAATAATAATAATAATAATAATAATAATAATAATAATAATAATAATAATAATAATAATAATAATCTTGTCTTCCTTAATACATACATCTTTAAAATTTGATGGTGACTTCTCAAGGAACGGAAGAGTTAATTGTGCTAGACCAGAATTTCTTACACCAGTGAAACTCTGCCTTAGTAATTTCAGAAGGACAGGAGTGATGGTAACCCTGTCATAAGTGAGATGAGAGGTTTCCACCACTAGCTTTTTTTGAAAGGGATATATAATTTTAGGTAAAGAGCACTGACATCTTGTGGCTTCAGGAAATAATGCAAACAGCTCTGGTCAGACCAGCCTTTGTGTTCAGAAGAGCATGATGCAGTTTTAACAAAAGCTAATGACTGCCTTTCCCAGTGGATGTAAACACAGGCCTCTACAATATGCCAGTCTTGTGAAAAATGCTAAAAGTATTTAAAAAAAGTCTGATTTTGTTTTCCTATTGCTCATGAAGATGCAATTATTATTCATGCTAGAATTGTTTATTTTAAGATAAGTCTTGGATCAGTTAGACCCAAATGTTATTAAGGCTCAGAATAGCTGAGAGAGAAATCAAAGTATGAATCCCATTCAGTATTTTTCACTATCATGCATTTCACTTCCATAACAATGAAATCTTACCAACTGGTATTCTAGGGAAGTCTCCATCTAGCATTCTCTTGTTTAAAGACTAGGCTGTATTTTTTTGTAGGTAAAATACGCAGGAAAAGACAAGTCTTTCTTCACACCACCTCCACGGAGGTGGTGGTGTCATGACAACCATCATAGGCATAACTTCTGTGTCCTGTAGCTGTGCCCTGGAGCCCATCCAGCTGTACCCTGACTGGCTTTCCCAGCTGGACCAGTTCCCAAATCCATTTGCTGGCTGGTTCCTGAGGTGCCACTGGCGCCGCATGGTAACTGCAACGCAGCAGATCTCAGCACAAGACCTTGTGCCTGGGGAAAAGGACTTTATTTTCACCAGAACTGATTTTTGGCCGTCTGCTTTCACACTCTCACACCTGCACACTCACATTCACGAGCAACGGAAGTGTTGTCTAGATTGTGGGTGATCAGGAGGGGAAGGACACCTGCTGACAGATCCTCCCAGCAGGTCCTCCTCACATCTCCTGGGGCTCCGGCTAGTGGAGTGACCATGTCTGTGCTGGTTTGGGGTGTGCCATGTCATCCCTTCTGGTATGTCAGCCTGCTGGCTGATTTATCAATGATTTATCTCTCAGCCTTGTCACACCTCTGTTCTTGCTCACTGTCCTTTGTCTCCCCACAGGGTTGTGAGGGACAGGACACAGATGTGCTCCTGGATGGCTGCTCAGTTCTGTGCCCCCAGCACATGCCACTCAGGAGTCCTCCTTCCACCAGTTCTTCTGTCACTTCTACACCCACATCCCACCCATTCTCCATTTGTGCCATGTTTATCAATTCTCTTCCAATTCCCCTCAGGGTTGTTTTTTCCCCCTCATAATTAATTGTTACTCATTGGTATCAGGGGGCTTAGCCCTGTGCTGCCCTGTGGGCAGGTGAGTGCTGCAGGAACCATCTGACCATCTTTGGGTGGACTCAAGAGTGGATTTGCTCCTTTGAGTGTTGTAGCAGGTCTGCACTGTCAAAGGGGGAAACCTGGATACAGTAAAGTCAATTAAAAGTCACAGTGGTGGTGTCAGTAGAGCCTGTGCTTTTTCAGAGATGTAGGATCATTAGACTGATCTGTTACAGAAACATTTTATTTCCTTTATAATCTGATTTTTTGTGATTGCATTAAGATAAAATCCTAGCCCTAAGAAGGATATGATTCTGTTAACTGAAAACTACACTGTAATAGCCAGTATTTCATTTATGACTTCTTGTATAGGTTGGAAACATCAGAAAGTGATGCAAGTTTGATATTAACAGAGTGAACTACCTGAGTGATGACACTGTGGAAAATAAAACAATTGTGAGAATGAAAAATTCTTTACTCAGATGCTGTTTTCAATGCAGAAATTACATTTTGTCATGTTCAAGCTAATTTTGTCTCCCTCCTCTTAATGTCTTAAAAGGACATAACAGACAGTATGTATGTGTCTTTAACAGGAACCAGTGATCCGTATGTCAAGTTCAAACTTGGAGGAAAAGAAGTCTTCAGAAGTAAAACAATACACAAGAACCTCAATCCTGTGTGGGAAGAAAAGGCTTGCCTTCTTATAGATAACCTAAGAGAACCATTGTATATAAAGGTGAGACACTTAATCTGACGTTTACTTAATCTGTTGAATTACAACAAAAAGCTCACTTTGTATTTTGTAATTTTTTTGTACTGAAAAAGTTACTCTGCAATAATACATTACTACAGACTGTTTGGAGATGACAGTTATTTAAATCACATCTGTGTAACGATGATGTAAGCATTTCCAAAAAAAAAAAAAGAGATAAATACTGGCAGTTTTGTTTATTTCAGCCCATGATTGTTTTATAGTTATTCACCGTGATCTTAGGAAACAGAAAAATAAACTGTGTTTCATGATAATGACATGCCTTCTATTTATCATTGCTTAGTTCTGATATAAAGCATAATCTTATCCCATTAAAAGCAATACTTTCTGAGATCAATTTCAGAATTTAACAAGGTGAGCCCCTGCTTCCCATAGGTTTTGGTGGTATTTTTACCAACATTGAAGACCTTCAGCCTGTCACATCTCAATTAGAGATTTGTATTATCAACTGTTCACAGTCTCACTCTCACTTAGAGCTGAAGGTATAACCCGGTCCTCAGAAATTGTCATGACATTGTTTGCCAAGAAAATTTACTTTACCTAGAGAACTGATTTTGATAATTGACATTGTCCCATTTTTTTTCAGTAATTCTTTTATCACAAGTTTTCTTTGTTACCACCCACCTTACTTTGTTTATTTCCCTGCAAAAGCTGTTCCAAATTTATTTGTTATTCTTCCTTCTGACTTAGGAAGGCAATAATCCATCCCAGGGCATTGATACCATCCCACATGCTGGGCACAGATCAGTGTTGGATGCCAGGAAGTTTGTCCAGGTGCTTTCTATTTTAGGTAGCAGGTTATCAGGCTGGGTCTTCATGGTAGGGTACTGAATGTCACAGTTTCCTTACACATCTGCATTAAGCTTTTGTCTTAGATTATAATATTTCTAAATCCTAGAAACGTACACAATCTTCAAGGCCTACAATTTTATAATTTCTAATGGCAAGGAAAGAGTTGTAATAACCCACTTTTCACAATCATATCGTGTCCTTCTGCCTGTAATTTGCAAAATTGATGAAGGCACAAATTAATGTATAGCAAATTGGTGGCTTTGCTTAACTTCAGTTATTCTTTTGGTCTTCTTCTTTTAGTGCCTCTGCTTGTAAAAATGCTTCTCTTGGTTTTATAAAATCTATGTTGTTCACAGAGGCAGTCTAGTAATAGGATTCCCCCACACCTGTAAATTCTTCATAGTGACTTTTATTTATATATAAGGAGTTTCAAACTTGATTTTGTGGCCAGAAAGCTTCAGGCTACTTTCTGATAGTCTTGGTTTAACATGTGGGAAACGTGTCTATCTCTGGAAAACGAGTTTCAAGAACCATTCATAAAGCAAGAAAATCTATTAAAAAAAAAAATAAATCCAATACCAAAAAATGCTTTTATCTCATCTGAATCTCAGGTCTTTGACTATGACTTTGGACTTCAAGATGACTTTATTGGTTCAGCATTTTTGGATCTCACTTCATTGGAAGTAAACAGGTACATCCTACAGAGTATTTCTTTATGGTTTATGCTCATACTATTTTTGTGGAATTGCAAATAAAACATGAAGCTTGAAAAGAATGATATAAACCTACACCACATAAATATAGCTGAGATAAAACACTGGTGTTTACGGAATTGCTGTAATATGAAAGTTAATAGTTTATTAACTGATCATTCACCACATATTTTACACTGTCTTCAGAGAGGTTTGTTTTATAACCACTTTAATCTTGCTTTTGTATTATCTTAATTAACAGCATTACCACCTACTGTTTAACTTTATTTTTTCTGGTTTTTAATCCATTAATTTTACAGTCCAGATTTAGTTACTTCAAGTGCTTAACATGGAGAAGTGGTTTTTACTATTTATTGGTGAGTGTTTATGCTGCAATATTTATATGCAGAAATGTGGTGACTTTGTGACACCATTTTCGAGTAGTTTCATATAAATTCAGGTGCCTTTTTTGTTATTCAGAAGTTTCATTATCTGAGAGCCTGACATCAAAATAAATGCATATATTTTTGTTTCCTAGGCAAACAGATGTTACTTTGAGTCTGAAGGATCCCCATTACCCTGACCATGACCTGGGAAGCATATTGTTGTCAGTTCTGTTGGCTCCTAGAGAAGAACAGCAAGAAGCGGTAATTTTAAGTATCTTAACACCTGTCATCACTCACTCTTGTGATTGTCCTGCGATGGAAGGACTTAAAGCACAAGAGTAAACCTCATTTTCTGGAATGAATTTTAAATTTTCAAGTTTTTAAAGTAGTGCTGAGCAGTGTTCCTTGGTGTAATACATCACACTTCACCTGAATTGGGTCCTCCCTCAGAAGGTACCGAGGGATGCTGATGGAAGAGGGTGTTCAGCAGTTTCAGATACAGTCACTTGCAGGTGAATGGTGCTGATTAATATGCAAAAACATTGATAAGCTACTGGTGAAGAATTTTGTACCTAGTGCTGCCATCTCTAGATAAGAACATTCAAATACCATTCCATACTGAAAATAAATTAAGGAAAGGTAACATTGCTGCCTTTTGGCATCCACTGGTGAGACACTACGTGATGCTTTTCAATTTCATGACCAGAATTCACTTACAAAGACGTGTGGTTTTCTAGGTTTATTGCAATTCCTGCATCCATCTCAGTTTTCTGAGCTGCTTAGTTCTAAGTGAAAACAGGTTTCAATTTTTACAGATCCTCTTGGTTTTGTCAATTTCTGTCTCTAGCTGGATGTATTTTATGAGCCTTTTTCATCTGACTTTTGACTTGAGCATTGCACTACACCTGGAGCAGAAATAAGAGAGATGACAGCTTGCTCAGAGGTTGTAAAATAATGTGCCTATAGAGAGGACAATAAAAAAAGTATTAATCTGATGGAATTTTCCATGGGTATGGTCAACTATATGTTTTTTTGCAAGAGCATCTGTGTTTCTGTGTGGTGTGTTGAGACACATCATCCTGTTACAGACCTGAGGAATATTGGTGGGTTGCAATACTGTACTTTCCCTCCTTTTCTCCTAAATATTATTTAATAGTGTAGTAAGTAAATTATTGGAACTAGGTGTCTGGTGTTCAATATGACAGAGATGCAGAGTTTTGAAAATGGGCTTCTTGCCTGTCAATTTTCCTCGTGACCTTCTGTTAGGATTTAACAAAAATAATGGTAAACAGTAATAATGTGCAGGAAGTTCACATAAACAGTGTATTTTTCTTTCTTTTAGCAACACGTTTGTCCAGGCAACTCAGAATTCTGCTTTGCAAATTTACACCACAAAAAAAGTATTTGACACATAAATTGAAAAAATAAATAAATAATTTCATTCAGTTTTTTTGTGTGTGTTCAGTTGGGTAAGACCAACATTTCTGAGCCAGCTGGGAATAGCCCAGTGGATTTAGTGGATTTAGAATGATCCTGCCATAATCCTAAATCATCCAGCACAGAAATAATAAGTTTTTAATTGGGAAACCATTATGCAGACAGCACGTTAGATTCAAAAACTGCTCCAGAAAATCACGGGTGAGAAAGTGAAATCAAGACACAACAGTGTAGTGCATGTCTCTCATATGGGCATTGTCCCATATTTAAAAAAAAAAAAAAAAAAAAAAAATTACAATAAAACTGTGGAAAAGGGCACAACATACATCAAAGAAAATGGTATTTGCATACTCCAGGAAGTAAAAAACAATAATTTGCAGAATCTGTTCAAGGGACAACCAGTTGCAGTGACCAGAGTACAATCTTGTAGTGACAGGATGAGGAGTAATGGTTCTATACTGAAAAGGGTAAATTTAGATGATATATTAGGAAGAAATTCTTTGCTGTGAGGGTGGGGAGAGCCTGGCCCAGGTTGCCCAGGGAAGCTGTGGCTGCCCCATCCCTGGCAGTGTTGAAGGGCAGGTTGGATGGGGCTTGGAGCAGCCTGGGCTGGTGGGAGGTGTCCCTGCCATGCAGGGAGGTTGGATCTAGATCATCTTTAAGGTTCCTTCCAACCCAAACCAGCTGGTGATTCTATGAATTCACAACTGAACATCACAACTAATGGGAGCACCACAGATGTGCTGAGGAGCAACATTTTCATACCCAGCTGACTGGTTTTAATAGGAGGAAGAATTGGGTTTGTGCTATTATACATTTCATTATTAGCTTTCTATTTAGTAAGTAAAACCTTTTACTGTAGCTCAAGTGACCTGTTTTCCTTCCCATTTAACCTCTTACATGGGACTTCATTCTGAAAATGCTCAAAGTTCAGATTAAAATTCTGATTCCCAATCTGAAGCTTTATATGTGTTACTAGAAACCAGTCCTCCAAAGATACTGATCTCTGAGAGGTTCTGACAAAGCTACAGTAACATCAGAGGATTTGTGTCATAAGGCAGGGAAGATCACCTACAAAATTGATATTGAATTGCTATATATGAATGTGCTAGGGGTTTAATAATTCAAGGCACAATTATTTTTAATTTAGTTACCACATGTAATTATTTATTTACTTATCAGATTTTATTTACTCTCTAATGAGTAGATATATTACAAAATATATTGCTCCAATTAAACTATCAGCCTTGGTTATTTTTTAAAGGTCTTGTAATAATGAAGATAATTTTTATTGAATTTAGAATGGTTGACTTAAATAAATTTTCAAGCCTTATGCTAGAGGATCAAGGTTGATTCTTGTCTGCTCTGGAAATGTGCACCCTACAATATATTAATTAAAGCAACTCCTACATTCCCAATCTCAGTAGCTGTTTGAATGATGCCTCTTTC